GAGGAGGGGAGGAGGAGAGAGAGAGAAGGAATTCTGACTGGGGAAAAGGGGGAACAAAAGGAAGCAGTTTGTGGTCCCTGAGAAATTCTGGGCAGAGAATTTCCCTTCTCAGGAAGGAAAAAGGACAGGGCCACTCCAACGGGCCCTGGGAGCTGAGCCTCTGCCCAGAGCCCAGAGAGCCTGCTGTCCCCAACATCCCTCAGTGCCAGCCGGGCCCAGAGGGAACTGCCAGGTCCCAGACCTCTGCTTTCCCCACTGCAGGGCCCTGAGCACCCCCACACCCCTCCCTCACCTGCTGCTGTCCTTTGGGGCTTTTCCAAATAGCAGCTTCTGGAGGCAGCCAAGGAGATCTCTGATGCAGAAGGTGACCAGAGCGTTGAACACTGCAACGAGGGGGCCACAGATGCCACTCACAGGACAGCAGATGGAACCGAGAGCCTGTGTCCCAGGTCCCCTGGCCCCAGCTCACCAGCACTGTCTGTGACCTGGAACTTAATGGCCTCAGCACCCGCTGGGTCTCCTTGGGTGGTAGCCACAGCTGCTCGGAACGCCTGCACAACTTCGTGGAACAGCTTGGGAGTTAGGTGCTGCTGAAGGGGCAACAGAACCCAGAATGTTGAGGGAGCCATCAGCTGTGCTGGACAGAGGGAGAGGCAGCCCGCGGCTCCCAGAACCTGCCCTAGGAGAGAATGGCACCCCTCGCCCTCACTCTCACACAAGGCAAGAGGTGGGGACAGTGTCCCATGTGCCAGGAATAAAAGAGAGTCCGGAATCCTCCTGGGCGGCAGGGAGACGAGCTCAGGGACCAGGGGGAGGGGCTGAGGGTCCCCGCTCCGGACGATGGCCAGCTGCACACAGCCTCTGGACTGCTCCCTTCCCGTCCCTTCCTTTCCCTGCACAAACCACGGCCAGACCCTCGGAAGAAGGGGCCCGGCTTAACCAACTAGCAAAGGCACAGAGACGGTATCCTGCCCACAAAAGGCTTGAGGGAGCAAGGAGCCCAAGGGAGAAACTGAGAGCAAAGGAGCAGGCAGAGCCCCTGGGATCCGACCGAAGGAGAGAACACAGTCCTGGGGCCCCTCGCCTGAGAAGAGCTATGCGCGGTGGCCGGCTGCTAGAAGGGGACCCCCCATCTGCACGGTCCCAGGTAACCCGACCGCGTCAGGCCAACTCTAACGGGGATGGGCCCAGCCGCTTCTCACCTTCGCCGCCCGCTTCCACCTCTCGACCATGGCCAGGGTCACGGGGGTGGCCTCCCTCTTCTTCCCCTCCGGTCCCCTGGAGGCCCCATCCTCGTCCTCCTCACCTTCCTCTTCGCTGGCTTCCTGCACCAGACAGAGGGCCAGGCTAGAGCAGGGCGCGAGGCCAGCAGCGCCCCGCCCCGCCCTGCCCGGCTCCGTGCGGCCCTCGCCTCCAGCGCGCCGGGCAGGGAGTGCAGCTGCTCCCCTCCGTCCTCAGAGCCATCCGAGTCGCTGAAGTCCAGGAGGCTCTGGTCGTTCTCCTGCAGGAACTTGTAGAACTCGGGGTCTGTGTCCTTCAGCCGGGAAAGCTGGTCCTTGTGCTCAGACGCCCGG